TGCTTCCAGAAGCTTTCTGGTTCGGTTATGAGCACTCTTATGCGTGAAAGGAGCTCTACGAGGTTCCCGGCGGTGACCAGGTTGACGGTTCACCGCCGCCGCCAGTACGCGTGGCTCCAGGGTGCGCGAAGCGCTTTGGCAGAGCTTCGGCAGTTCTTCCAGGCTCCTAGGCAGATCTTCCTTGCGCGCTGTGCAGGGCCCCACGCATTGTTTACGGCGCAAGCCGGCGGTGGGTGATGAGGAGCACACGCCCACCTCCGCCGGTCCCCGGAGCAGGTTGCTGGAACCGGCAGCGGGTCCGGGAGCGTGGCTTCCTTGCGTTTCCCAACACGCGTGGCTCCAGGGTGCGCAAAGCGCTTTGGCAGAGCTTCGGAAGAGCTTCAGCAGGTCTTCCAGGGAGGTTTCCGGCGTCCCGCGCATCGTTTCAGGCGGCTGGCAGAGGTCCCCGTGCGGCGTTCCGCGCTTGGCATCGCTATCCGGGTTTTGGACGCTTACAATGCACATATTTGAAAGATATTTGATTATTTATTTCGAGAAAGCAGATTTTTCGCACCTGTACACGACTATGAGAGCCTCTCTGTCTGATAATGAGCTGCGTATCCGCAATTTTACTATTAAAACACTTGGAGGAACCATCATGTTGACGCAAAAAAAATAATTTTCCCTTTTCGAGAAATTCTTCCAGAAACTCTTTCTTTCGACTCTGAGCACTCTTACGCGTGGAAGGAGCTCTACGATTTTTCGGCGGTGACCAGGTTACGGTTTACCGCCGGCGCCAGTTGGCCGACCCGGCCAGAAAGGAGAAAGTAATAACTTTTGGATGGTTTTGCGAATATTTAAAAGATATTAGACTATCTATTTTGAGAAAACAGAATTTTTGCACCTGTAGTGGGTTATTGCGCGTCTGCGAGTAAAATTTTCAGGTTCATAGATGCAGTATTACTATCAAAACATATGGAGAAACTGAGGTTGTATAAAAACATAAAAACACAAATTTCCGAGTTGCTTTGTTTCTCGCCTGAGAAACTTTCTCTATGTTCCGACGATCGCTAGTAAGATGGAGGGCTCTACGAGGTTCCTGGCGTTCCAGGTTGACAATTTAGCGCTGGTTCCAGTCTGGCGACTTCGGGTGAGGTATTCTATCTTTGTACAAAATTGAAAAATTCGTTTTACAACCAGCTAATTTTCTCCTTTGTAGCGGGTTATGCCGCGTCTGCCAATTACTATCCAAAGACTTGGGGGAACGGTCGGCCGTTTCGAGTCATCTTGATACGCGTTGACGGTTGTCTGTTCTTAACTCGAGATTTAGGACAGCCACAGAGCTGATACTTACATAAACCGATTCAGAATCATCAGGCGCGTTCGTCTGTCCCATCGAGAGTCTGAACTCGGTCTGCTGATCGGTCTAGGCCCGCAACACTGTTTGTAATTTTCGATCATTTTGACGAGTGTTGTCGGCTTCCTTAACTGAAGATTTAGAAGAGTTACAGAGCTGGCACGCATATAAACCGACCCAGTATCATCCGGCGTGATTTTTCTTGCATCGAGAGGTCAGAACTCGGTCTGGCAGCTTGGTCCACAGAGCGAAGATCCAAAATTTGAAAAATATATTTTCCGATATTTCTTCTTCACGCTTGGAAAAGCTTCTTTCGTGTGCTTCGAGCAGCGCCGCGTCACAATAGAGCTCTACGAGGCTTCCGGCGGTTACCTGGTTGACGGTTTACCGCCGGATCCCAGTTCCGGCGCAGTGTGGAGCTGGTTGGCCCAGCCGGCCGAGGCGGACAATGTGACAACTTTTGGGTGGTTTTGCGAAAATTGAAAGATATTTGTCCATTCATTGTGAGAAAGAAGATTTTGACGCCGAGCATTGGCGTATGAACTCCTCTCTGACAGCAGCTCAGCTCTCTCGATGCATTCTTGCATGAGTTGACTTCCAGGAACTGAGGGAATATGAACATCGAAAAAATCGAATTTCATCATTTTCGAAAAATCGTTATTTTTCCACTCTGTGTCGATTCTCTGCACTCATACCAGTGAGAGGAGCTCTACGAGGTTCCCGGCGGTGACGAGGTTGACGGTTCACCGCCGGCGCCAGTACCTCGTAGAGCTCTTCGATGAGCTAGAGGAATTCCGGCGCGGGGTGGAGCTGGTTGGCCCAGCAGGCCGAGGCGAACAATGTGACAACTTTTGGGTGGTTTTGCGAAAATACTTCGTGGAGCTCTTCGGCAATCGAATTTCAAGATTTTCGAAAAATCTCTATTTTTCCACTCTGTGTCGATTCTCTGCACTCAAACCAGTGAGAAGATCTGTGCGAGGTTCCCGGCGGTGACGAGGTTGACGGTTCACTGCCGGCGCCAGGTTGGCCCAGCCGGCCGAGGCGGACAATGCGACAACTTTTGGGTGGTTTTGCGAAAATTTGAAAGATATTCGACCATTTATTTTAAGAAAGCAGATTTTTGCGCCGAGCATTGGCATATGAACTCCTCTTTGACAGCAGCTCAGCTCTCTCGATGCATTTTGCATGAGTTGACTTCCGGGAACTGAGCGAATATGAACATCGAAAAAATCGAATTTCAAGATTTTCGGAAAATCTCCATTTTTTGATTCTGTGTCGATTCTCTGCACTCTTACTAGTGAGAGGAGCTCTACGAGGTCTCGGCGGTGACCAGGTTGACGGTTCTTGAAAGATATTTGGCCATTTATTTTGAGAAAGCAGATTTTAACGCCGAGCATTGGCATATAAACTCCTCTCTGGCAGCAGCTCAGTTCTCTCGATGCATTTTTGCATGAGTTGAGTTCCGGGAACTGAGCGAATATGAACGTCGAAAAAATCGAATTTGAAGATTTTCGAAAAATCTCAATTTTGTGATTCTGTGTCGATTCTCTGCACTCTTACCAGTGAGAGGAGCTCTACGAGGTTCCCGGCGGTGACCAGGTTGACGGTTCACCGCCGGCGCCAGTTGGCCGGCATCCCTCGTAGAGCTCTCATGGTATGATAGATAGAGGAATTTGGCGACAGGATGGAGCTAGTTGACGAAATTTCGAAAAGGAACGCAATCATCTTATCCGCGGCCTGGCTTAGCCGATTTTGCAGCTCTAATCATTCGTTTAGGCTGCTAATTTCGCAGATCGAAGCTTTGCATCACAGAAGTTGCCTCTCAAATTCTCAGCTCGTTCTGTCGACAAATTCTTCTGAGCGAAACCAGGAACCTGACCTCAGATTGATATAAAAAATTAAAATTCATGATTTAAAGAAAATCTACTGCGAAGTTCTCTGCCTCGATTCTGGGCGCTCTTAAGGGTAAAAGGAGCTCTACGAGGTCCGCGGCGGTGACCAGGTTGACGGTTCACCGCCGGCGCCAGTTAAGAGAAAATTCCTCGTAGAGCTCTTCGGCATCGATGAGCTAGAGGAATAACTCGTAGAGCTTCCCTTAGCAAGTTATTGCTGGGCGCCGGAGAGCTAGTTGGCAAGAAAAATCTCGACGGACCTTTTGCTGACTTTTTGTCTGTTGAAAATTTTGTTCTCAAAATTTGAACATAGAGCTCTAGTGTTTTTTCCCATGATATTCGATCTTATTCCTGCTCGACGCAGGTGCGTTCGCCTGTTAAACTCAGAGATCATAGCTCGGTCTGCTAGCCGAGCTAGGTCTCCGAACTTATTCGTATTATTCGAGTCATCTTGCCGAACGCTCTCTGTTTTCAGTACTTAACTCGAGCTGCAGGACAGCTACGTAGCTGCTGTATCGAGAGCTCTGAACTCGGCCTGCTCTCCGATCTAGAATCGCGAAACTATTCTCATTTTTGGAGTCATCTTGAGAGATGCTGTTGGCTCTCTGCACTTAACTCGGGCTGTAGGGGGGCTGCATAGCTGGTAATCACTGGAATCGATTCAGAGATAGAGGCGCGTTTGCCTTTTTCATCGAGAGCTCCGAACTCTGTCTGCTGCCAGAACTAGATCTGCGAAACTGTTCGTATTGTTTGAGTCATCCTCAGAGGCATAACTCGGGCTCTAGGTGGGCTGTAGGGCTGGTAATCACATGCGTCGATGCAGAGACATCAGACGCGTCTGCCTGTCCCGTGCAGAGGTTTGAACTCGGTGTGTACTCGAGCTAGTGCTGTCGATTTACGCACATAACTCGAGCTGTAGAAGAGCTACAGAGCTCGTGCAGAAGACAATCCAAAAGCATCAGGGGCGTTCGGCTGTTGCATCAGATTTGAAATTGCTTGGGCTGAAAAACTATTTTTTCGGTGTAATTTGTTTTCGACATTATATGTTGTTAGGAAGCTCTACGAGTCCCCCGGCGGTAACGAAGGTTGAGCGGTCGGCCAGAGATGCTGGCTATTTTCTTTCTGCGAATTCTACGGACTCAAATGGTGGGAGTCCTTTGTGCCGACAGATGCTGCGTATGTTCAGTTCTGCGAGCGCATGTGTACACGGACGATGCTGAGTTATTTTCAGAAAAGAAAAGGGTACGGTACAACAGGTGGGGCCCCGCAGGAGGTACTTACCATCACACAAAACGACCTACACACCTATGGGGCCCAGGAGGGCACTGCGGCGTTCAACGACAAACTGGCCAAACGTATTGCGTTACAAAATATGAAGGAGGTTGAGTACGACCTCGACTCATTTGGGATCCCTGTGTACATTTCTGGGGACAGTCTTCTGGTGGTGTCTTGGCTGCAGGGTGTCTGGAGGGTGCTTAATCGTACCTATCAGGATAGGATCAACAGAATGATTAACCAACTCGACAACATGTGTCAAAGGTATGGAATTAGGCCTGCCTGTCATGGGAGGGAAATTGTAGACCACACTTTTAGGGAATGGAACACGCGTGCAGATGTACTCACTCATACGGCCCGTGTCGGGCCACCAGTGATTCGAGATAGGATAGGGCTTCGCGCCCCTCAGTTACAACAGGTGTTTCGCGTTTGTGCCATCAGAGCTGGATTCGATGGTGGTGTCTCTTGCGACGGCGTGGGAGTCGGGTGCTGGATAGATGTTGGACGTGTATCGAGGCTCTCAAGGCAGCCACTCAGCCATGAGATTATTTGGACGGAGGTGTACAGTGCGGCACTCTCGATTGAGCCAACTTCAACAGTGACTGATGTCGAGGTCTCGGCCGTTGAGCATACGATTATGATCTTGCCGCGGGTTGTACAAGCGTATTTCGGACAGGATATGATGTGATTTTGATTGTGCTCACTCACGCCATGCCTTCGTTTGTCGTGTGTGTGCTTGACCTCTCATCCTCCTAATAAGAGTTGGCTTTCGCCTCTGATCGTTTGGATCGGTGAGGCTTCCGCCTACTCCCGATGCGCCCGCTCCTTGCTTCCGACTAGGCTGGAAAGCCTGCACAGTCGACCGCAAAGTCCGCAAAAAAACGAAGGTTGACGGTTTACCGCCGGCGCCCAGTTCCGGCGCGGGGTGGAGCTAGTTGGTCACTTTGGTGACTTTTTGTCGGTTTTGCAAGAATTTGAAAGATATTCGACCATTTATTTTAAGAAAGCAGATTTTTGCGCGTCGCATTGGCAGATAAACTCCTCTCTGACAGCAGCTCAGCGCTCCCGATGCATTTTTGCATGAGTTGACTTCCGGAACTGAGCGAATATGAACATCGAAAAAATCGAGAATGAAGATGTTCGAAAAATCTATATTTTTTGATTCTCTGTCGATTCTCAGCACTCTCACCAGTGGAAGGAGCTCTACGAGGTTCCCCGCGGTGACCAGGTGTTTTTAATCTTTGTGCAGAATTTGAAAATTTGTTCTGAGAGCGGGTATTTTTCTCACGTATAGTAGCTTATGCCGCGACTGCCAGTTGAATTCTCAGGTCCGTAGCTGCAATATTACTATCAAAACACTTGCTGGAACCGACGGCCGTTTCGAGTCATCTTGACTCGCTTTGGCGCTTTCCTGTACGTATCTCGGGATATAGGACAGCTACAGAGCTGATGCTTACAGAAACCAATTGGAAATTATGGGGCACGTTCCTCTGTTCGATCTGCAGCTCTGAACTCGGTCTGCTGCTCAAGCTAGGTCCGAAAATCTATTCGTATTCTTCGAGTCATTTTGACGAGTTCTGTCCGTTTCTGTATTCAATTCACGCTATCTTGAAAATAAAAAACTCTCTTAATGTCTAGCGGGCAGCTCCGCACGAGAAGAGCTCTACGAGGCTCCCTGTGGTAACCTGGTTGACGGTTTACCGCCGGCTCCTAGTTGTCCTCCTTGCTCTCCGGGTTTTGGACGCAGCCAAGTAACTCGTAGAGCTTCCCTTAGCAAGTTATTGCTGGAAGCTTAAGAGTAATTCCGGGGCGCTGGAGAGCTAGTTGGCAAGAAAAATCTCGACGGACCTTTTGGTGACTTTTGGTCGGTATAAAATTTTGTTCTCGAAATTTGAACATTCGTTAGAGCTCTAGTATTTTTTCCCATGCTATTCGATATTATTCCCGCTCGCCATCTTGATCTCAGCTCGATCGGGTGACTTTTACTGCCAAAAAGCAGGCAGGCGGGATCAGCCGTTTCAAGTCATCTTGACACGCGATGACGGTTTTCTGAACATAACTCGAGCTTTAGACCAGCTACAGAGCTGGTAAGCACAGCTAATCGATTCAGAATGATCAGGTGCGTTCGCCTGTTGAATCTAGAGGTCTGAACTCGGTCTGCTAGCCGAGCTAGGTCTGCGAACCTGTTCGTATTATTCGAGTCATCTTGATAGAAACTCTCGGTTTTCTGTACTTAACTCGAGCTATGGGACAGATACAGAGCTGATACTTACAGAAATCGATTCAGAATCATCAGTTGCGTTTGTCTGTCGAATCCAGAGCTCTGAACTCGGTCTGCTGCCTGATCTAGAATCACACAACTATTCGTATTGTTCGAGTCATCTTGAGAAGTGCTCTCGGTTTTCTGCACTCAACTCGGGCTGGGGGAGCTACGGTGCTGGTGGTCACAGAAATCGATTTAAAGACATGAGGCGCGTCCGCCTGTCGAATCCAGAGCTCGGAACTCGATCTGCTGCCCGAACTAGGTCCGCCCAACTATTTGTATAGTTCGAGTCATCCTGAGAGTGCTGTCGGTTTTCTACACTTAACTCGGGCTGTAGGGGGGCTGCAGGGTTGCTAATTACAGGAGTCGATTGGCAGGCATCAGACGCGTTCGCCTGTCGCATTCAGAGGTCTGAACTCGTGCCAAACTATTCGTTTTGTTAGAGTCATCTTGAGAGGTGCTGTCGATTTCCGCACGTAACTCGGGCTTGTAGAAGAGCTACCGAGCTCGCAAAGAAGACAATCCAGAAGCAGCGGGGGCGTTTGGTTCTTGCATCGAGAGGTCTGAAATCGCTTGGGCTGAAAAACTATTTGTTCTCTGCAACTTGTTCCAGCATTATATATTGTCAGGAAGCTCTACGAGTCCCCGGCGGTAAGGGAGGTTGACGGTTTACCGCCGGCGCCCAGTGACTCGTAGAGCTTCCCTAAGCTAGTTGCTGGAAGCTTAAGAGTAACTCGTAGAGCTTCCCCTAGCAAGTTATTGCTGGAAGCTTAAGAGTAATTCCGGGGCGCTGGAGAGCTAGTTGGCAAGAAAAATCTCGACGGACGTTTTGGTGACTTTTGGTCGGTTGAAAATTTTGTTCTCGAAATTTGAACATTCGTTTGAGCTCTAGTAGTTTTTCCCATGATATTCGATCTTATTCCCGCTCGCCATCTTGATCTCAGCTCGATCGGGTACCTTTTACAGCCAAAAAGCAGGCAGGCGGGATCGGCCTTTTCAAGTCATCTTGATACGCGATGGCGGTTTTCTAAACATAACTCGAGCTTCAGGACAGTTACAGAGCTGGTAAGCACAGCTAATCGATCTCGAATGATCAGGCGCGTTCGCCTGTTGAATCCAGAGGTCTGAACTCGGTCTGCCAGCCGAGCTAGGTCCGCAAACCTATTCGTATTATTCGAGTCATCGTAGCAGACGCTCTCGTTTTTTGTACTAAACTCGAGCTCTAGGGCAGCTACAGAGCTCATAGTCACAGAAATCGATTGGAAATCATCAGGCGCGTTCGTCTGTTGAATCGAGAGCTCTGAACTCGGCCTGCTGCCCGAGCTAAGTTCGCGAAACTATCCGTATGGTTCGAGTCATCTTGAGAAGTGCTCTCGGTTTTCTGCACTTAACTCGTGCACGGAAAGGGCTACAGTGCTACTGGTCACAGAAATCGATTTGGAGACATCAGGGGCGTCCGTCTGTCGAACCCAGAGCTCGGAACTCGGTCTGCTGCTCGAATTAGGTCCACGAAACTATTGTATTGTTCGAGTCATCCTGAGAGCTGCTGTCGGTTTCCTGCACTTAACTCGGGCTGTAGGGGTGCTGCAGGGCTGGTAATCACAGCAGTCGATTCGCAGACATCAGACGCGTCCGCCTCTCGCATTCAGAGGTCTGAACTCGGTTTGATACTCGAGCTGGGTTGCGAAACTGTTTGTTTTTTGTTTGAGTCATCTTGAGAGGTCTGAAATCGCTTGGGCTGAAAAACTAGTCGTTCTCTGGAATTTTTTCCCACATTATATACTGTCAGGAAGCTCTACGAGTCCCCCGGCGGTAACCAAGGTCAAGACATCTTGGCTCCAGGGCTCCAGGATCCCACTGGGGCTCAGGGGGTGTCGGCGTCGCGGGGAGACGGCGCGGCAGCCATCGCTGCCATCGACGGGTGCGGCATCTTCGAGGTCAGCTAGGCTGCTTCCTTTGTTTGCTGCGCTTGTTGTCTTTTGTTGTACGTGTGCGAAGACGGACGGATACGACTTTTCGGTTCTCGCGAGAAGGTTTCAGCTGGAGGATATATCACCGACAGTGCCATATTTGCAGTACTCACAGGATTACGGTCAGAAGCCAGATACTGCTGTCGAGAGAGCTTCTCGTAAAATACAACTTCAGGATATTGAGAAGACCCCAGTTGACTACCCATTGGACGGAAGATTGAATACTGCCGACTCCACTCCAGATAGTGAATCTGTTGTACCTCTCTGTGAACGGACGGTGACACGACAGCGGTTGCACTCGTGGGGATACGGACCTCAGTGTATTGACACAATGCCCGAGCATGCAGATAACATGACGGTGGATGGCGGAGCCCCCCCTGTGAAGCGCAATCGTGAGGAGGTTCTTGCTGAAAGGAAGGCCGCCTTGGAGGGGAAGGATGGTATGCAGAGTTTACTATTGCAGATGATGCACAAGATGGATGATAACACTGAAAGGATCCAGGATGCCATAGGAGTTCAGGGGACCAAAATCGACAACGTTCAGGCCCAGGTCCAGAAGCAGGGTGTTACGATTTCTAATCTGGAGACGAGCGTTCAGGGGCTTGAGACTAAACATAATCGACTCGAGACGATCGTCCAGGGACTCCAGGGACAGGTTCGTGCGGGTTCAGTTGCCAGTGACGCGTCGACGAGGCCTGATAATACCAGGACGGGAAGATACCAGGCTCCTGGAACCACCTACTTCTCTCCAACGTATGTCGAACTCAAGGGATGGGTCACCAACTGGAGTGACAGGGATAGGAGGTCTCAGGAGATGCTCATGTGGGAGGATGTGAAGGTGCTCATAGATAACATTACAAATCATTGTCTTTCGGAGGATGATCGTGTGCACGTGTGTGTTGACGGTACTGAGCGCATTAACGCTGGCCGTTACATGTTCGGATCGGCCAAAATCAAATTCAAGCCAGGGACCGACAGGGATATTATTTGGAGGGTCAAACGGTGCATCGACCTTGTGACGGTACCCCCTGCTAAACGCCCCGCGCCTCCTCCAGGAATCCAGATCGCTGCACCACAGTGCCTCATTGAGAATATGAAGCAGGTTATCAACCCTGAGTCGATCAAAGTCAGTGTCGAGTGCCCAGAGTGGAAGAGGGACCACGTTAAGGCGGTGGGGAGATTCTGCGGCACTATTCGGAGCATGTGTACACAGATTGGTATCGAGGTTATTGCTGTGCGAGGGGAAATGGGACCGCCCAAATCGACTATATGGACAGTGCCCACGACGGCCGCTCCGAGGCCAATGCTTCTGGCCGAGTTTACCACGACGCGGGCGACATGGGAGGTATCGAGTGAGACTGTCGACAGGTTGCATCAACTCATACCTGCGTTTACTAAGACGAAGGCTGATATCGAGACGGAAGTCAACAGGAGGGTGTGACGACGACGACGCCGAACACCGTTCAAGGGGATCCGACTGGGTAGCTGGAACCTCAATCGGGCGGGGTCGGCCAATTTCAAGGGGAATGAGATTCTGAGGTGTCTTTCAATGCGAGATTGCATATGGGGTGTTCAGGAATGCCAGAATCTTTTTGGAGGCAAATTCGATGCAGATATCAGACGGTGTGGCCTTTCA